CCTTTTTTTTTAAAGTTAAATAATCTGGCATCTTTGACTGTTTGAGTGTTAAATTTGATCAATTACAATCTCGCCAGACATAAACCGAAAAAAACCCTACAAACCCCTACAAACTTTGCTACTGTTTTATTTTGGCATGTTGCTGTGTTCTGATGTAACTACAGCCATTAATAAAAAAATGCAAACCATTATCTTTGTATTTATTTTGTAAAAACGTGTTGTATTTCCAGATGAAAGAAAAGAGGTGGCTATGGTTGTTCAAAATAATTAAAGTTTGAATGAATTTTCAAACTTACTGAGTTAGAAGGGGTACATTTGACACATGCACAAGGAATGACACCTAATTTTGAAGTGTAATTTTTTTGGAAGTACTTCACAGAAAAAGGACTCTGAACCTATCTTGAAATATGCATCCTATTTGGATAGAATAGAGACATCATCTTATAAGAATGTAGGTAGGATACTTTCTCATTTTAGCAGTCTTTGCAACTCTCTCAATAAATTCTCTCCTGTGTTACATGGAGAAAACAATCTCTCACTGCACTGGTGACATTCGTTCACATAAGCAGCCCCTGCAAAGGCAACATCTGATTTTTTTTCCCAGAAAACACTCAATCTTGCCTTGACATGAAAAAACATGTCTGAAGGTGGAGAAGTAACCTGCAAGTTCTCCCTGGGGCAAAATAAAGTGGAACATTTCATTTCTGTCAGACTGCAGCTTGTGAGTCCTACTACACATACAGATCTCACTTAAGGTTTGTGGAGCAAGAACAGGATGTCAAGAGGGACAGAAACCTCCCAGTACACAGTCATTCATTTCCACATGAACTGTTAATGAACCACAGAATCACAGAGCTGCCTGGGTTGAAAGGGACCTTTGAAGAATGTTTATTCCAACCCCAAAGGAAGGGTCATTCAAAGCAAGTATCCGTAGAAATGAGACAGCACAGAAATTCTTTCCAAATCTCCATTACCAATGCAATAGTATTTTCAACTTAATTTCTCATCAAAGTAAACTGAATACAGAAAATTGGTCACACCCCCTGTCTTGAGATCTTTAGCATCATGTCAACCATTTGTCTGTCAGAGACAGAAACAGAGACAGAAACAAAGCTTCCAAAAACAAAGATCCTGTGCTGCTCTTTAAGTGATGAGTTCAGGTTTAATTTAAGATTGCGGGGTTTTTATTAAAATATCAGGATTATTGCTGCAGCCTGTAGAAGCTGAGCAAAAGCAAAGCATTATCACTTGTATCACCCCAGCATGCAGAGACCCTGCCCTCAACAGAGTCCCATTGTGCTGGGTGCATCCCATCTTCGCATGCACAGCCTGAGCCATCCATACAAAGCAACTTCTCAAGGAGCCTGACAGCAGTGCCAGGTTTTTGAAGGGATTTTGAAGCCCAGGTAAGAGCAGTGCCCTATACTCCACATTTTTGCAGAAATCCCTTTCTACAGAATGCCAACACCTTTCCACAGCTGTCCTCACCTGCAGAACAGTTTGAGTGAAGAGCAAATCACCACCATCTTCCAGGGGGTGTTTGAGCCCACCACCACACACAGAAAATGACAGCAGCAGTTGCAGCACCTCAGCTGAGCAGTGCCCACTAAAGGCAGAGAAAATACTTCACCCAGGCCTTCCCAGTATCTGGGAAGAACACTGGAATCATGGCAGCATAGAACAATGGTCCAGCTGAGCTGCTTCTTGCTCTCTTGATAGCAGATGCCACAATGGTCCCACGGCTCAGTCTCCCTTGTAAGGAGTACATCCTTAATTGACCCCAGGAAATGCAGAGGATTCCTGTGACAGGAATTCAGTACAGCCTTCAGCCCAGTGAGCAGATGGGACTTGAGCTGTTAAATATGGCTGCCAGTAATGCTTATTTTTAAGGGACATCTTTTCATTGTTTAGACCTTTATTTATCACTTTAGTTCCTAAGGAACTTAAAAACACTTTTTCCAGCCAATTTCTTATTCAGATTTAAGATTGGTTGTTATTTTATGACTGTTTTTTCTTTTGAATTGCTGGCCACAGTTTTATGTTTTGGTCTTTTTTCTTGCATAGTTACCATTTAGATCCTATCATTCACATGGGTAGTTCAGATCATAGATTTGTCCTACATTTATCCAAAATTAATCTTCATCTACCATAAACTTTAAATGTCACTGTGATGCCCAAATCACTCAGTCCTGGTTAGGTCTATAGGATTCCTCATATCCTCTTGTAAATTCTACCTAAATAACATTGTACACTCCTCAAAATAATGATACATGATCATTAATGCTCTCTTGAATTACAGGAATACAAGGCATCAGCTTTAGTGCAGACTGTTGAAGCTTTGCTCATTCTCACCCTTTGGAAATCTGAACTGCTTTTGCATTTAGTCCAGTTCTTTTATGCTTGCTGAGGATGTCCAATTGAGATACAATGACCACCCCAGCATGGCCTTGTTGGGTGGCAGCAGACTCAGGACAGGGCAGGAAGCACACTGGACTCTGCTGAGAGCCTCCTGCGTGCTGTAAATATCTGCCATTTGGGATAGTTGTTAAACCAACAGAGCAGCTCAGTGCTGGTCATCTGGCTGTGAAGAGCAGCACTGAACTACATGAAAAATCCAAATGTGCTACTTGGTATGAAGAAAACCAGCCTTTCCTTTCGTGGTCAGCTCAGAAGTAAATTCTGACTAGTCTTCTCTATCTCAGGTTCTGCACATCTTTGAGTTCATTCACAGGAAGCATTAGGATTTATCCTAGTGCTAGGAACAAAAATCACAGGTGTTTTTTTCCTGATTTTACATTCATTAGTACTCACGGGCCTCAGATTCCTCTCAGAACTGGCCTACAAGGTACTCCAGAATCTCTTTCACTTTATTGTAGATCTGCTTTCATTTCAAGACAGAACTCTACCAGTGAGTTAGCTGTAAATTATCAGCCTCTATCCCAGAAAGCTGCTTAGCTAACCCCTGGCATTGTCCAGCTCTTTGGAGTAACTTCTTCCCTCTCTGTTTGAAACAGTACTATTTCCTGTGGAAGCAGGGAGAAATGGACTCTGACAAAGAACTAGGGTGAAGAGTTCTTCATAGAACAGTGTTTTAATGTTGAAAATAATTTGCAGGAAGTTGTATATGTTCAAGCATGCTGTCAGGTGTGAGTCCAAAGACAACAGCTTTCCTTCTCTGGCTAACAGTAACAAAACCATTGATGGTCCTCACCCCACCAAATTGTTTCTTTCGGGTTTGATTATCCTTGTACAAAGGGAAAAAATTCTTCTCTCTTTTACCCCATTTCTTTTCACTGAAAGCTGAATTTAAAACAAAGTTAAATGTGTGTTTCTGAGAACACTTTGTTTTGAATGTTGGATGTTCCTTTGTTCTTAGCATCATTTAAGGTCGGCCACTCCTTTCCATCATTGACAGGCTCCAGTTCCATTTGTCCAAGACATTCCACTTAGCATCATATACAACAATTAGACATATTCTTAATACTAGGAAGTTACAGAAGAACAAAAGGCATGTGTGTGCTATCCAAGATTTCCTTGGAATGAATTATACTGGATGAATTATTCGGAATTATTCAGGAAAAGAAATTGTTTACTATTCTATCATAACAGATGCTCCAGACAAAGAAAAGAGGAAGCTGTTGCAGCCTCTGACTGAGCCATAGCTTCTCACAGCTGAACATGGTTGTGCAAATTAGCTGGTAAAGTTTATGGAAGAGCCCAGAAAGAAGCAATTAGAATTACAGTGCTGGTTTGAGAATATGTAGTTTGTAATCAACCAAAATTGTGCAGTTTTCCATATTCTTTGCTGATAATGCAAATGTAACCTTTGAAGGAAACTGCTCTGTAGCACATCCTGAAAGCAAGAAAAAACACTTAAGTCCAAGAAAATAGCTTTGAGGACAGTAGGTTGTATAGGTCTTAGTCAAGTCATTTATGACCATTGCAGAGATTATGAACTGACTCCACAGAATCAGTGTTTTGGTCATTGGCGCAAGTTACGGGGCAGAACAAGATCCTGAGAGCAAAACAAGAGCCATGAGAGAGCCTGGAATAGCTTTGGACAGGGGATTAAAGAACCCTAGAAAAAGACTACAGCCTGCAGTGCTGAGTTTAGGGAAGACTGAAGGGAGACAACGGCTTTCGAATAAGTGAATGAATGCTGTGGAAGAGGAATACCGCAAATACCTCGGAACTGCTTAGGTGAGAGAGAGCAATGAACGTGAAATGCAAGCAGAGGCAGTATGTTACTATTGGGAGAAACCTTCTAATAGGAAGAATGGATAAGTGTCAGAAGAGATTGTCTAGGAAGACTGTAAAATTTCAGGCAGTGTGGTGATACAGTGGATCATATTTACCAGCTCACAGTTATGTAGAGGACGGTCTCTATGCCACCAAAGTGCCATCGAGTAAAGGAATGTGTGAACCTTCCTTACAGATCTCTGGCAGGTTGCCCTGTTCTATTTTCTTGTTCTGCACCAGATAAAGGGAAGAGAAATTTTTACTGAGCTTGTCTGATTTCAGCCCTACTGAAAAACTGAAGTTTTATCTGAATTTTGGCTTTGTGCAATACCTTTGTTCAAATGCAAGATGGAAAGTATTGACATCTTCCTAGGCCATGTCTTGGATGACAAAGGCGGTATTTAAAGATGATTATCAGTATTTTCTAATAATTAGGCTGGACTTCCTTTTACATACACTGAAGATTCAGTTCTTGATCTGATGTTACACTGACACAAAGCAAGCAAGTGGCTTACCATCAGAGGAAGCATTCCCACCTTTTAACCTCTTATCCTTGGCCACATCCTTCTGGCACATTTCTTGTGTAAAATCAGCTGATACAAGGTCCAGTCCAAGGCAAAAAGGGTGAATGGATGGATGGTTGGTGGTGACATGGTCAGTGGAACCAACCCTCTGTTATCATCTCAGGATGACATGTGACAACACACAACATCACAATGCATCTCAATACCAGCTGGTACTACTGCTGGTACTACTTTTTCATTTGAAAAGCATTAGTCCAGGACTAATGAAGTTCACAATCTGCCCATGAAAATATGCAAAATTTGGAGACTGGAAGTTTCTACAAGTACAATGTAAGTTGTGCAGCAAACTGGCTAGGATTTCCGTGTAACTCCAATGGGAAAAAAAACCAAACGTATGGATGTCTTGAACTGAGTCAGAGAAGTCTCCACTGTATTGTTTTAGATGCATTTGGCCTCTTCCACCTCCAGGGCTCATTCTGAAACAACCAACATTTCACTGCTAAGAGTTAAGTCACAGGGATGAGGCCAGGTTGAAATAGTCTTGTCACCTGCTTTGAAACCAACACAATCCATTAGTAATTATTATACTAAACTATTTTTTTTTCCCCATACTAAATAGCTTTCCAGGTTGTCAGATTAATCATTGGAATTTTTCAAAACTCCACCTTACAGGATGCAGGGGTTCCCTTTGCTTTAACATCAATTAGTATAATTCAAATTCCTGTCCTACTTATAGCAGGGACAGATCATACCGTAATAGTGACCTGTCCTCCCAAGATTTAGGGATATTTTTGGGTTTTTTGTATGAGAGTTCTAAACTCCATTGCCTGGGTTTGGTTTAGGTCCTATTTTTTCTTTTTTAGAAGGTTTGCCCTTCTAGAAGTTGCCCAGAATACCCATTGCAAACTTATAAAAGGAAGTGAACATTCAGCTACAATATATGGCACTGAGATACAAGGTCCCTGAAGAAAATTAAATTCAAATAATTGCTGTCCTTTTCACAGTCACTGTTGCAAGCTATTTCTCCTCTGCATCTTGATGTACGGTATTGGATGCAACAGAATTTCTTTGGCTGAAGAAGGATAAATGTCAAACACACAATAATAAAAATACATTAAGATGTTGCACACCATCAGTATGTGTCATTGCTTTGGCAAAGAAAGAATATTTGCTATTGAAGTATATTGCCCATGCTCTGGAAAATCTGGCTGGTCAGTAAAACATCTTATTTTTGAGATACCTTCACTGAAAGTGTATAAAGACAAGTTGCAATAGGCAGCATATAACCACAGCTGTATGACCTGGATCTGAGAAATATCCATACATAAAATTTTTCTGTAGTCTCAGTCTTCAAAGACTGGAAATACATCAGCATAAACAGCAAAGATTAAGCTGGCAAATGGTAAGCCTTTGATACTCATATCTAATTTTGCTTATTATGCCTTATACTACAGACACTCCCTGAGAAATGTAGGTATTGTGTTTACTGGGAAAGATTTAAGATTCCTGGTATATTCTCTCTCATTCTTGCACTGGCTATGGGAGAAAGTGAAAATTATAGAATATATCCAACAATAAAAATACTTCAGAAGTTCAACCACTTTCAGATAAAAGCCTCTACTGCTTGCTACACCTTACCCTGGGACAGGAGTGTTCTCTGGAGGAGTCTTTTGGTAACATCTCCCTTGCACTCTCAATTAAAACACAAAGCTCCAATTAAACCTGCCTGCAGGGTGCTATGAGAAGCTAATAATAACGAGTACCTCTGCTGCAAATCTCTGCCATTTCCCTGTTCCACCCTCATTTCAGACAAGCCTGCTCCAATTTATGGTGACTGGACATTAAAGTGTCAAATTCCAGTAAGGGAAACAATTGTGTCCTTCCCCATGATCCTTGAGCTCTCTTAATTAACATGCCTGTTGAACTCATTCTACACATCTCTTATTCTCTGCTTGGCTTCTTCCATTATGACCTGCAGAAAACAGCATTGAAATGTTATAAATCATGAATCTTGGGAAACAATAATTTTGTAATCACCTTACTGCATTTGTAACATTGTTTTTCCTGAGAGTTTAATTTAAAAGCTAAACATGACACAACAGATGGCAAAATTGGATTTAGATGCTTAAGATTGAATAGACACAACCTAGTGCCCCCACCATATTTTGTTCATAAACATTAGTTGGTTTAGGGTGACCCCATCACACTGACAACACACTGAGAGATTTGTTTGAACTGTTTTCTACATAACTTGATACTCTGCATGAAGGAATAGATATGGAAATTAAAATTTTAGATACTTTAAAGCTGAATTAAGGAGACTAGCACTGTTGCATAAATATTTATTTATGAATAAATATTGTAAAAAGTAATGTGAAAGTCAATTTTTTCTTAGAATTCTTGGACCACAACATTCATTATATGGTTATCTCCAGGCTGGAGAGTGGAAAACTTTAAAAACATGCAATTTAACAGTACAGGCAGACCTTTGAGCTCAATTTCAAAATATCTAAAGGAAATACCCTAAGAGATGCAGGGAGTCTGCTGAAGGAGCAGATGAAGCTAGACTGAGGTACAGGAAACTTGGACACAGGTTTTGACAAGAATCAAGGTTTAACTTTGTCCTCTTTTGTTTCAGGCCTGCAGTTCCCAAGCAAGGATGTGAACCCACATCATGGGAGGTACACAAGGAGGAATCAGTGGTGCCAGTGGCTCGGGAGGAAGGCAGGCTCAAGAGATGGATTGTGTCACACAGCTTCTCTGACTCCGTCCTCCCTCAGCTGGGGTAGGACCAGCAGTGCCATGGGAGGCACACAGTATTCCAGAGGCTCCTTGGGATCCCCATCCCTGGATGCTGCATAACTGTGCCTGTGGGTATTCTCCTCTTGACAAACTATTTGGTCTCACATAGCCCCCAGTGAATGAAGGAATAAGAAAAGAGAACCTCTCAATGGCCAGCTGTCTTCATAGCATGACAAGAGCAGCCACCACCTCCTGCACTCCACAGTTCATCACTTATGGTGCCCCAAGTCCAGACAGATGAGCAGAGAGCAGGAAACCTAAGAATTAAGAAAGGAGTGCTGATGGCCAGGTGGTCAGATTGTCAGCATCAAACACTCTTGGCCCAAGTGTTGCACTCATTACAGCATTCAGAAACCTTTTGCAATGGTTCCTAACTCTCACATGTGGGAAAGAAGAGCAGCAATGGGCATCCTAACAAAACAATCCAAGGATATGGGTAACATGGTGTTATGTCTCATCGTATAACCACAGCCTCACTGAGAAATGGGCACTGAAAAGGTGGAGTACATGCAATTCAACCCTGTGATTGTACAGGGCTATTTCCACAAGAGGTGCCAGCTCACATGGAGCTTGAGGAAATTCATTAGCAAAGCAATAAGAACTTACTTCACCTTAAGGAAACCTTCACTTTGGGAGTGAGCAGAGAAAGCAGGAAGGACCAGGCCTTCAACATCTGAAACTGTTCTGCTGAGACAAAAATTGTGACAGAAACTAAAAGATACTTTATGATACAGGATCCACAAAAAAATACATGCATTTCATAATCTGTTGGTCTAAGCATGAGGTTTTCACCTGTGGCTTTCTCTGCGCCTCCCTTTCCCCACCTTGTCTGCTGTAGATCATGTGCAAATTGCTGTGACCTGTGAAATAGATCCATGAAGAAGAAATTTTGGAGCCAGCATAAAGGATAAAAGAGGACACAAAATTATGATGAAGTCCTACTAAACCATCCAGAGAGGTCAAAGTGAGAAGAACAACTTAATCCTTTGAGCCTGCTTGTAACTGCAGGAAGCTCCATTAACTCCTGATGGTTCATCGTAAAACATTAGCTCTTGCACTGTGGGACGGATGCAGAACTGGCTTCTGCCAGGGGAGACAACAACCACAGCACTGCCACTGGGTCACAAAGATGCTCAAATTCATCAGCAGAATTTACAGTCACCTGGGAGTGCACCAGTTGCAGAGTCTGCCACAAAAGCCAGAGTTAATATAAAAGATCTGCCACAAGCTGCAAGACACCCTGTCCCTTGTGAGCATTAATCTCAGGTTATTCACACATGCTGGATATGGCATCATTACTTATCCTGGGTTTGGAGCCCAGAACTGCTGGGACTGGCTGCTAAGGTCTTCATAACTAACTCACCAAGGCCCCTCATTACAAACACTTTGGTTTAAATCTGAGGCATAAAAAGGACTATAACAGCAGCTTTTAGGAAAGGCATCACGCAGGCTTCAGCCTGTAGCTGGGACAGTTCACAACATATGAATAAATAAATTTTCATTCTGGGACAACTAACTGTCATAAACTAAACTATGACCAAAAATTCACTGGAACAATCACATCCTCGAGTCCCCCTAGGTTTCCATAAAACTTCTTAAGGGATTTTTTTGGACCTAAGGTGCTCCAATATTTCTGTTTAAAAATTGAGCACATAAAAATATTTCAGAACAAACTGCACAAACAGGATACATCTAAATTATACCAATTTGTTATGAGGTTGAGTAACAACAGTTTCAAAGAAATCTGTGGTACTGAATGTTTCTCACACTCTATAGGAGATGCAGGTACACTCAGATAAATTTTTTGCAGCAAGTTCCTCCAAACACATGATCTGTTGCATCCAGGGGAAGGCTGGGGCAACTCTGGTAAATAAAAACCCCTTAAATACCTTATATCACAAATGCCTGAACATTGTTATTATGATCTCATTTTAATCACCCCTCTGGTATTTTTCCCTCATAAAGAAGTTCCAAAATCATGCAAACTGTCTTGTTAGATGGCCACAGAAGCAAGAAAAAATGCTTTTTTATTGGTGAAGTTTAATTGCAAATCCGATCCAGACCAGCCCTGTCTGTCTTCACAGCGGGTTATTTGTCATGTGTCCCCTTTCAAACATTTCCTATTGACAATGTTTTTTCCCATATACGGGCACAGGAACAGAAACAGCACTTCAGAAATTAAAAATTGATTTTAGACCCAAAAATCTGACTGTGCATGAAAAAGAAAAGAGCAAAGGAAGACATCTCTATCTCTAAAGGCTGCTTTAAACATGAAAAGTGTTTGGAGCTTTTTTTGCTGGGTTGTTTTCACATTGCTTACATCTCTTCATATTTCTCAGGATGACGACAGTCCCTTTTAGAGATACAATTTGTCTCTCATTGACTGCTGGGGCTGGCTGCTAAGGTCTGCATAACCAACTCCTGAAAGCTCTCATTTACAAAGCCTTTTGGTTTAAATCTAAGACATCAAAGGAAATTAGTTAGGCAGATACAAGATAGATGTTAGCTGTAGCTTATGAGAAAAAATATATTTAATATTCTTAATAGGAATAAAGTTCATTATCTTCTAACCCACAGATGGTTTTGGCACAGAGCATAAAGGGTTGTAACAGAGTTATAACAGGCTTAGTTTGATGTTTTTAGCTGGATTTAGTAAAGAGAGGGGGCAGAGAAAAATTCAAGGTAGTTTTAACTTACATATTTATGCTGCCTTTATGTTCCCATTATGATAATAAGCTAAATGGATTAGTTGGGCAAAAAAAATGGTTGCTTAAATTACATTTTACAATGCAGCATTAATGAAAAATTCACATCAGAAATAGGTCAGGTTTGGTTTTGAAACCAAATGATATTAAAGGTAGGGTTTAATTAGATTTTTTTTTTATTTTTTTTATTTTTTTTTTTATCTAAAAGGAAGCTGGGAGTGATCTGTGCACTTCACTAATCAGGGGCCATGGTTATTAACCAATGGCCTTACACAGCTCCAGCCCAGGAACCCCCAGACCCCAAATCCATGTGTGTCCCCACTGTCCTGCAGTCAGAACTCCCCACATGGTGAGGTTCCATGCAACCAAGGCTTCCATGCTCCCAGTGTTTCCATGCCCTCCTTGGCAGATCATCACTGACTCCGTCACTTCATGACAACAGGGATGAGGAAAATTTTCAAACATCCAATAATTTTGGGTGCCAGTAAAGCATTTCAGGTTGAGCAACTAGGACTGGAGGCACCCAAAATTCCTAGATCATGCTCTAAATGACAGTCTTACATGTCTGGATCAAAATACTGCCTTACTTTTGAGTTCTCTGCCCTCCCTTCATTTCCCAAGTCCTATCCCCTCGCTTCCCAGGGTTTTACAAAACCTGGTGATTTGAGGTGCTTTGGCAGTCGCTGGGCAGGAACCAGCAGCCACAGGAGGAGGCACTGCCTTGGAGACTGCTCCTGGGTGCTCCCTCTGCCTTATCTCAGGGGGCACTGAGATGAAAACACACAGACATTGCCTCCCACCAGTAGTTAAAGAGCTGTCTCTCCCTTGCAGAACCTCACCTTCATGTGCAACAAATCTTTACTCACAAATACTAATTTCCTCTTATCCCTTATTTCAAGTTACCTATTACTTTGCCTTAGAACATTTATTTTCCTTTTCTTTCCAAAGAAAAAGCCTTAGGAGTTATGTCTGTTGAGGATTTATGGGTTATATACACTCTGGCCTATGACACTGGGACAATTATTTTTAGCTTCCAGGCATTTCTTGGAAGGTACCTCTCTCCTGAGGACTGTATGAGATTTTGTTAAAACAAGGAAGATGTCCTAATGACAAAAGGCAATCAACAACACTGTGTTACAAGATTAGGGGCACCTTTCTTGCTTTTCACTGAGCCTCTTTCAAGTCCTATTGTTCAAAAAAGCCTGCAAGAAATTCATATATCTCTCCCACGAGAATTAGTCAACAATTATTCTGCTTCCAAGAGAAATTTATTTTGAGTCAATGTTTTTTAAATCTATCTGTTCATCAGGCTTACTCATGCATTAAGGATGATTTTTCAGTGTTCAATAGCAACTCCTGAAACAAGGAGCAATTAGAAACATCTGATTTCATGATGAATATTCCCTCCAGCAAACTGAGCCACTGTTTCCACAAGGAAAATGCAAAGACTCTCCGTTTTCCTTGCAGTTATTAAGAGCACAGCAAAAACAGCTGAATTTCAAAAGCTGAAATACAACAATAGCTTGGCTCATGATGAAAGTTTTCAAATGAGTGAATTTAGTTGTACGACAGTAGAATAAACATAAACATTAACTCAGCCCGACCCAATCAGGGAAAAAATGGCCAACAATACAAGCCAGAGCATCCAGCCAAGAGCACAGGTCAGAAAGTCCTCACTTTGCCCTGGGTTTCTTGCCTAAATCCAGGCAAGCTCTGCAATTGCTTTGCTCCTGCCCTGTAAACCCAGGGCAGTGTCCATCCCACAGACACAGCTCACCAGATAACTTCTGGGTGAAGTGAAATAATGTAAGTAGCTGATGAGTGTTATTTAAGAGTGAACATTAAGAAATTAATGGCACCTTTTAGAGGCACTAAAAATTAAGTGTTTAATATTAAAATAGTGAAGCGTTGCACTGCTGCTGTGAGCCCATCTGCTGTCTCTGACCCCCTCCCACAACCTCTGCTCTGAGCACAGCAGAAAAGGCAGAAATATCCAGGTGTGTGACACTCCCAACTACATCCCCTGACATGGGTCTAAATGTAAGAAATGCCCAGTTGTAATGATTGGAAAGCAGTTTGTTTGGCCTTTTACATTTGTAGACAGCAGTGGGCTCGCCAGGTTGCCTTAGTTTAACAAAGTTCAGAGATTAAAGGCAATTTATAAAAAACTTCTATTTCTAGCAAGAAATTAAGCGTTAAATAACACTTTCATCAGTATTCTAGATGGAACTAGTTAAAAAATAAGCAAAACAAGTCTCAAAAATATCCATTCTTTATTGGCTAATGGCTTCTGACACTATAATTTCTTAGACATGGTCTGTAACTAATAGTTATAAAAGCACAGCTTTCCCCAGTCAAATTACACAGCACAGATGAAAGAGAGCTGATCCACAAGACCACAAGAATATTACATTGCACTTTACATTGAAACCATGAAGGGTGGCATCACCAGGAAAAGTGAAACATTAAACAGCACAGCTTCCTGATCCATTTTTTATTAATTGTCACAACCAGAAAAAAAGATGCACATGGGGCAAAGGAAGTAATCTCTAGCAGGGGTCTTGGAAAAGCATTTCTTAGAACGTCAACTTTTGGGCTCTGCCACACAAACAGATACAGAAATGTGATGGCACAAAATACATCTACTTCTCCTATTTTCTCCTCCTGGCTTTCTTTTGTGATTTCATTTAATTTCATTTCTGTCTTCTCCAGATGCAGAGAATTGGCCCTGTGGACAACCAAGGCAGGTAATGCTCATAAGTGAACCATCTGTCTTGCAGCAGCATGGACAGGTTTTCTCGAGGGGGAAATGTCAGCATAATTCATCAGCAAGTAAATAAACAGGACTAATGGGCAAGGCCTAAATACAATATGTACTTTCGTCTCATCATCACTAAGAAAAGGAGCCAAAGCAAAGTGAAATGAAAGCAGGCAGCAGCCTTGAGTACTAAAATAAATATAATACTTTAAAATAGAGAGAGAGAGAGAGAGAGAGAGAAAGATATGAAAAAAGATAAAGAGAAAATTACTTCAAAAGCTAATTTGGAAAGAGTATTATTCTTACAGAGCGTCCTGAACTGAGATGTGCTCTATCTGAACACAAGAGTGGAGTATTAAGCTTCCTAAATTTGGTGTCTAAAAGCTAAACAGCTCCATCAAGAGGGTGTAATTCTGCAGTAGTCTCTGCAGTGGGAGTCATAGGGGCAAACATCCTCACTGACTGCAAAATGAGACACTTCTCAAAGCCTCCTGTGATATGGCCACTGAGAGCATTCGTGGACTGCACCCAAAAATCCCAGAAAGCTTTTCCGTTCCTTCATCCTGGGACAGTCCAGCGCTCAACTGATTTGCACATGTAGCACCACAGTTATGCATGTTTAATGCAACAGCATCCAAAATGAGCCAAGGCTTTCCTTACAGGACAATTAGGAGAGAGCTCTCCTGGTGAGTTCACAACCTCGACATGTGAGCAGTGCTGTGGCTTCCCAACATCAGCAGGGGGACAGCCATCCAAGACATCCAGCACTCCATCCACAGT